AGAGATGTTAGCCAATCGAGGAATGCTGAATACAGTTCTGGTCTCCCTGCTAGAGGAATGATGTTGTGAAACTTGAAAGGGTTCAGAAAAGGTTTACAAGGATGTTGCCAGGGTTGTAGCGTTTCAGCTATAGGGAGAGGCTGAAAAGGCTGGGGCTATTTTCCCTGGAGTGTCGGAGGATGAGGGTTGATCTTTGAGAAGTTTATAAATTGTGAGGGGCATGGAAGGGTGAACAGTCATGGTCTTTCCTCCAGCATAAGGGAGTCCAAAACTAGAGGCATAGGTTTAAGGTGAGGGGAGGAAAGATTTAAAAGGGATCCGAGCGGCCACTTTTTCATGCAGATGGTGGTGTGTGTATGAAATGAGGAAGCGCCAGAGGAAGTACTGGAAACTGGTAAAATTGCAACATTTAAGAGGCATCTGGATGGGTACATGAATAGAAAGGGTTTTGAGGGATATGGGCCAAATGCTGGTAAATGGGACTAGATTAGTGTAGAATATCTGGTCGGCATAGAAGAGTTGGCCTGACGGGTCTGTTTCCATGCTGTACAAATCTATGACTCTGACTTGAAGGCCATCTGGGCTCAGCAGTGCCACTAGAAGCAGTGGCCACTGTTGGTACTGCACAGAGTCTCAGAGCGAATTGTGCTGTGTTGCAGCCAGAGTTGAAGCCAAGTTTGGTATCTCACTGGTCCTATGCTGGCAGGCTATGGAATAAAGCAGGAGGGGAGAGGAGGGAAAATTGTAGTGGTAGAGTACCATGGGGGGAGGCCTCTGATCTGCGTAGGGGCCTCAAAAACCGGCACCTTCTGCTACTTGATAGACTTGTCTTGTGGTCTGCCAGGGTTCACAGAGCAGGCAGCCTCATCTCCTGACCCTCCCCCTCTACACCATGGGTAAAGTCTCAGTGGCTGGAGGTAGAGACTCACGAATGGGCACTTGGCCACTAGTGTGCTTCAATTGGCATCTGGTTGTATGGGTCACCTGACACCACTCCTGCTACTGGTAAGATTGACACAGGGTGGGCATATTCGTACATCTTCGCGGTGCCCTGTTTTGCGGCTTCACTTCTCCACCACCACCTCACCGTCACCACCACACATTACTGCCCTCTTGCCACCAACTGCCATCCAGCACTATTAAAATCAGTTCAATGGGTGAAGAATGCTGTTGAGAAGAGGTTTCCTGCATTCTACTGGAGTAGTTTTGCAATCTGAGGAAATCCCCAACAAAAAAATTGTTTTAACTGTAACCGGTAGTGATTGCAATAATGTCAGCCAAGTGGACCTCAAGGAATTTGAATTCCCTGATTGGGGTTAATCTGCTCCAGTGAGGGAGCCCTGGCTGACAGACATAAACAGGACTGTCAGAGGTTCTGCTCACTCTGAGAGCCGGCTCTGAGGAAGCTGGATCAGTGTCAAGTACTGTACATGTGTAAACAAACGGTGACTTGGTGACAGCATACCGGCCTCTGTGGAGTTATTTCATAACCATTGCCGTTAATGTAGTTGAAATGTCGAGTTATTAGGTGTCCAGGGAATGGGGACCTGCTTAAGTCTCAGTGGGAACTGTGGTTGCAGTCAATTTTGAGAAATTCACTGACCTTAAACCTTCTGACTGTGTTAAACTGCACCAAGAAATGATGGGATGAGTCTTGGTACTGAGAAGGTGCTTTAGGAAAGAAGGTTGGACAGTTTGAGATCTAGTGCATGAGGCCCCACATCATAAGTTGGCAATGCAGGCCAGAGAACAGCGATTACTGAGACTTGAGTTGTACAAGAGGTAGAAACTTGAGAAAAGTTGTAGCTGCTGCCACTGGTGTGACTCTGATGTAATGGTAGCATAAGTTCCATGAAAAGTGAAGGGATTTGGTTTATACATTAATATGCTATTTAATTTAAACAGTCAGCTAATGTTTAATTCACACATCAGAAGCTACTCCCATTACATTCAATTTTATAGTTAGTTGCTTTCGCAGCTAAGTCAGTGCAGCCAACCAATGTCATTTGATGGCATCTTCCTCCTAGCCACCTCTCAGATCTCTCTCCCTCTCAGAGCTCTATCTTAAGTGCGGGCTATGTTTTGATCTAGTCTTAGGTTACCTGTTCTAATATCTCCCTGTGGCTCAGTGTTTTGTCTCATTACAGTTCCTGTGAGTGGCTGAGGGTTGGTTGTCAATGTTAAATGTGTGATAAAATATGAGATGTTTATGCAATCCTGTATCGGGAGGGCTGGGAAAACAACTGTACGTTCTAAAGGAAAGAGAAGCTGCTGCAAAACTCGTTGCAGGCTGCACCTTTGTGTTTTGTATGCAATATGAGCAGTCCATTATCAGTGATGGATCAGGCTTCTGCTGTCTTCAGAGGTTGTATTGAAAGAACCTATGATCCACATGTTGCGTGCTCCATGTTCAACAACTGGCTGAGATACCTTGCCAATACAAAGGTGTTTCCTTGCTGTATGACTCTCTAACTCGATATAAATCTATGACAAATTATTGGATGCAACAATGTGTTATGATTCCATGAGCTTCATTCACTGCTATTGATCCCAATCTCATAAAGTAGCACCAAGATTCATCTGCGTATAATGCTGTAGTGTTATGCCCCACATAGTGTTTTTTTTATTTATTCATGGGAATGTGGGCATTGCTGGCTAGGCCAGCATTTATTGCACATCGCTAAATGCTTATCAACCACATTGCTGTAGGTCTGGAATCACATGTAGGCCAGACCAGGTGAGGATGGCAGTTTCTTTCTCTTAAGGTTAGAAATCACATGACACCAAGTTATAGTCCCAACAGGTTTATTTGAAAACACAAACCTGTTAGACTACAGATATAAAGGTGTAGAGCTGGATGAACACAGCAGGCCAAGCAGCATCAGAGGAGCAGGAAGGCTGACGTTTCGGGCCTAGACCCTAGAAGATCATGGCTGGTCTGATTGCTCTCCTGAAGTGCACTTTTTTTGTTTGCAAAAAACCCTTGACTCTGTTTCCTATCAATATCCATTTAACTAACTCAGTCTTGAATAAATGAAAAGACCGAGCTCCCACTACCTTCTGAGGAAGAGAATTCCACACTCCACTGACTCTCTATTGAGGGGCAAAATATTTTTTCTGCCTTGAGTGAGAACTCTTATTAGTAAATTATGTCCCCTAGTTTTAGTCTCCAACAGAAGGTCTTGTATGTTTCAACAAGATCATTTCATTCTGCTGAACTCCGATGTGTATAGTCCTAATGCATTCAAACAATTCCTCATAAAATGAATCCTCCATCTTGGAAATGATATCCAAAGATGTGCAGGTTAGGTGGATTGGACATGCTAAATTGCCCATAGTGTCCAGGGATGTGTGGACTAGTTGGATTAGCCATGGGAAATGCAAGCTTATAGAGATAGGGTAAGGAGTGGGTGTGGGTGGGATGTTCTTTAGAGGGTTAGTGTGGACTTGATGGACAGGATGGCCTGCTCCCATATAGTAGGGATTCTATAAGTCAAGCAAACCTTGTCTGAACTGCTTAATGCATTCATGTATATTCCCCTATGAGCATTTTAAATGTAAGTATTAATAGTTGCCTTCCCTTAAACATCTCCTCCCTCATTAATAAAATTTCTTTTTCAAGTATCTGTTATGTACTATCTCCATATGTTTTGGATTTGTGTATCTAGTCAGACTTGTTGCCTTTCGGTTGAGTCACTAATCTATGGTAGAGGTAAACATTGCATGACACCTTCCCAGGGCATTGTGGCTAACATTCCTCCCTCAAACAGTATCCCCAAAAAAAACAGATTCTCTCATCGCTCATCAACTCTGTGAAATTTGGCAAATTGGCTGTTGTCTGTTGCCAATAGAATGACTATTTGCCAGAAGTAAACTATTGGCCATACAGTACCTTGTGATAGAAACACAGAAGGCTGGAGGAACTCAGCTGGTCTGGCAGCATCTGTAGAGAGAGAGAGAGACAGATTTAACGTTTTGAAGGAACAGGTCTGAAGAAGAGTTACGCAGGACTCAATGTTAATGTAGGTTCTCTCTCCTCATAATGCTGCCTGACCTGCTGAGTTTCTCCAGCATTTTCTGTTTTTGTTTCAGATTTCCAGCATTTGCAGTATTTTGCCTTTATTCAAACACCTTACGATGCTGTGGTGGCACAACATCAATCCAAACTCTCCTTTCTTATAGAGATAGTAGGAATTGCCGATGCTGGAGAATGTGAGATAACAAGGTGTAGAGCTGGATGACACAGCAGGCCAAGCAGCATCAGAGGAGCAGGAAAGCTGACGTTTCAGGTCGAGACTCTTCTTCAGAAAATCTCCTGAAGAAGTTTTCCTAAGAAGGGTCTCGACCCAAAACGTC